CGAGTTCTGTGGCTTCCTGTTTTCTAAGAAGCAGAGCTGGGATGATATCCAAGAGGAGGAGGTCTTGTCAGAGTGAGCAGGCCATGAGCACCCCCAGTACTGTGGGGTGGGTTAGGAAAAAGTGAGAACAGATGCTAAACAAAAATGGGACTTGCCCTTGATGGACAAAATGGAGCAAAGGGAGAACAGGCCGAGTTTATGGACAGCTTGTTGACAACTTTGCTCCAGCTGTAGCCCTCACTGTGTCTTGCACCCTACAGTGCTTCTGCTGCTTGCTTTGTCCTTATGGAGGAAAGGAGCAGTTGGGTAGCTGGCTGTGCACGAAGTATAACAGGCATTTGTGTTTTTTTTTTTCACAGATCATTGAGAAGAGGAAGAAACTGGAGGCTGATGGGTTAGTAAAGTGATCCCTGCTTTTGGCTCAGCAGCGGGGAGTGGGGCTGTCTCCTACAACTCCTCTTGGGGCTGCAGGGGCCAAAGACCTCTCTGCCACCTCTAGGCAATGGGACTGGAAGGATGGGGAGAACATTCAGCCCCTCATGTGCTATGCAGGGTACCTCTCTCCTGTGCCTTGGCTGGGGGCAGAGCAGATGTGGGAGGTGATGACTTTTTGGGCTCTTCATCACAGTCACCTGCTGCGTGCCCTTAGGATGGTGCTTTGCTACTGAGCCCCAGAATGGAGGGGGATTGCTCTCCTTTCCTGCAACCTCACCAGCCTTGTGCCCATCTCTCTTTCCAGGGTGGAAGTGAAAAGGCCCAAGTACTGAGGCTGTAGCTGCCTGCCTACATCTGATCCTTCTGCTCCTGGAGCCTCGTCCTGCTGGATGCAGTGTTCCCAGAGCGCAGGCGTGCCTCGGTGTGGGCTGCCCCTCCTTCAGCCCCTCCTGCTCTGGGCAGTACGCAGAGCCCCAGCCTCGTGCTGTGGGGCTGTGCTGGGGCTCTCTCCTTGAGTTTGTTGTACAGCTTGTGATTTGCAACCCTCGTAGACGTAATAAAATTACATTCAAGGCTTCTGCGTGCGTGTACATGTGTAGCAGAGCGGTGTTTAGCTCGGCTCAGCGTTGAGGCCTAGGCCGGGGGGTAGGGGAGGGGGAGGGCAAACGAGTCCGACCCGGGTTTCGAACCGGCGGCCTCCGCATCAGTCAGCTCGGCCGCCAGGGGGCGCTCTAGAGCCGGCAGAGCCCGGGCATGCGCAGCAGGCTGTCCGCGGCGGCATGGCGGAGTCCGAGGAGGTGCGCGGCGGCGTGGGGTGCGGGGTGGGGGCTGCGGAGCCGCGCCTCACCTCACCGCGCTCCATCCCGCCCGCAGGAGCCGCCCGCGGAGCCGCAGCTCCGGGACACCCCCGACGACATCTGCTTGGAGGCAGCGGCCAACGCCATCGCGCTGCACCCGGAGCGGGAGCTGCTGGCGGCGGGGGACGTGGACGGCGACGTGTATCTGTGAGTACCTGTGGGGACCTATGGGTGCCGGTAAGTACCTATGGGTACCTGTGGGTGCCGGTAAGTACCTATGGGTGCCCGTGGGCGCCCCGCACGGCCCCGCCTCACGGCCGCCCACAGGTACTCGTACTGCTGCGTACAAGGGAACAACCGCCAGCTCTGGTCTTCGGGACACCACCTGAAGTCGTGCCGCGATGTCGCCTTCTCCCAGGACGGGCACAGTGAGTGCGGGGCCGCCGGCGGGGCCGCGGTCGGGTCGGGGCCGCGCTGACGGCTCTCCGTCCCCAGAGCTGCTCACCGTGGCCAAAGACAAAGCCGTCCACGTGCTGGCGGTGGAGAACGGCCGCCTGGAGACGCGCATCGCCAAAGCGCACGGGTGCGTGCCGGGCCGGGCTGCGGGAACCCCGACTGCGGCTCAGCCCTCGGCTGACCCACGTGGTCCCGCAGCGCGGCCCTCAACTGCGTGCTGCCCGTCGATCAGCACCTGCTGGCCACGGGCGACGACAACGGGGAGCTCAAAGTGTGGGACCTGCGCAAGGGCGGCGCCGTGCTGGAGGCCCGGCAGCACGAGGAGTACATCAGCGCCATGGCCGTGGATGGGGCCGGGAAGATCCTGCTGACCGCCAGGTACTGCGGGGCTGGCGCGGCCCGCGGCGGGCTTAGTGCTGCCCCCTGCCCCCGCCCCACGGGGCCGCTCCATTTCCCGCAGTGGCGACGGCACCATGGGAGTCTTCAACATCAAAAGGCGCCGCTTCGAGCTGCTCTCGGAGCCGCAGAGCGGGGATCTGACATCGGTTGTGCTGCTGAAGGTAGGCTGGGGGCCCTGCAGCCCAGCACGCACACAGCCCTGTTGTTTCCTTGCCATGCTCTGGTTCGTGTGTTCTCCCTGTGCTTTGGTCTCCCCCTTCTTGCTTAGCGAGGGAAGAAAGTGGCTTGTGGCTCCAGCGAAGGAACCATCTACCTCTTCAACTGGAATGGTTTCGGGGCCACCAGTGACCGCTTCTCTCTGAGGGCCGAGTCAGTGGACTGCATGGTCCCTGTCACAGAGAGCATCGTGTGCACAGGATCCCTCGACGGGGTCATCAGGTCAGCACTGTGGGTGTGGGATCATAGAATGGCCTGGGTTGAAAAGGACCACAGTGAGCATCTGGTTCCAATCCCCCTGCTACGTGCAGGTCACCAACCAGCAGCCCAGGCTGCCCAGAGCCACATCCAGCCTGGCCTTGAATGCCTGCAGGGATGGGGCATCCACAGCCTCCTTGGGCAGCCTGTTCCAGTGCCTCACCACCCTGTGTGAAAATGATGCAATGGGAAGGGCCCTGGGGAGGGTGCAGAGTGAGATGAGCCTCGGAGGGCAGGGCAAAGAAAGCTTCTGCTCATTTTGGAAGGAATGCATTGAGCTGGAGGGGTGGGCTTACATTCCCCAAGGCTCTGCCCCTCACTGTGCTGCATCCGTTCACTTTTCCCCAGGGCGGTGAACATTTTGCCCAACCGGGTGCTGGGGTGCGTTGGGCAGCACCTGGGGGAGCCCATTGAGCAGCTGGCTGTGGCCCCAGGCGGGCAGCTCCTGGCCAGCTGTGCCCACGACCAGAAGGTGAAGTTCTGGGACATCTCCTCACTGGGCTCCATGGTGGTGGATGAGTACCGCAAGAAGAAGAAGCGGGGGGGGCCACTGAAAGCCCTGAGCAGTAAGGCTGCAGGCAGCGGGGAGGACTTCTTTGCAGACCTAAGAGAGGAGCAGGAAACCACAGCGGAGGCGGCAACAGGGAGCGACAGTGACGACAGTGACTGAGGAGCTGCGGTCTGCTGGTGGCTGTGGACGTCCTGAGGCTGGGAACAGAGCAGGGTGCTGGTGGAGATGGTGGGGTTGGTGAGATAAAATGGGTCAGCTCCCTTCTGCTGTGAGGTTCCACAGGGTCGGTGAGGACTGTGCCGTGTTTCCTCCAGGCTGCAGCAGAGCCTGCACCGCATCCTGAGCAGATACATCAAGCATCGGTCAACTGTTAAGCTTAGGCATCAGGGGTATTAAAAACGTAGTGCCTTTTGGTTCCTAGCAGCTTGTGCTGATGGCTTGGCTTGCCCAAACTTCCCTGAGACTTTCCAGAACACTGGGGATGTGTCTGCTGGGCGCTGGGGTGATGAGAGCCCTGCCGATGGATGGCCCAGCATCCCCAACTGTAGCTGTCTTTGGCAGGAAACCTGCTTTTTTTCCCCCGTGCTCCATGACAGAGCAGCACACCTGGGCTGACCTTGGGCTCCCAGGCTGCTCTGCTGTGTCCCCTGCAGTAGGGTGGCTGTTGGCCCCCAGGTGCTGGAGGCACAGAGGTATTGGCAGCTCATGCAGGGCAGGGCAAGGACCTGATTTTCCAGTGCATGGTGTGCATCCCAGCACTGGGCTGAGTTACATCTCTGCTCTGAATCCTGTGCATTGGCTGGGGAAGGGGAGTGTGTTCTGCTTCAACCCCTGGCACAGCTTGCAGGCTGCTCCCCTCAGGTTATCCTGAGTTCTGGGCTCTGGCCAGCAGAGCCCTCAGATGGGTGGAATTTTATGCCTGGTATCTGATGTGTAGTGAGGACACCTGCAGCACTTGCCAAGATGTGCCCAGAAATGGCAGCCACAGTGGTGGACATTGGTGAGGGGAAGATGCTGATGAGGAACGTATGCAGGGCTGGAGCTCAAGAGCATGACCGTGTGCTGAGTGTGAGTGCAGCTGAGGTGTGAGTGCTGTCCTCCAGCTCACCTGTGCCTGCACGAGGGATCTGCGCCATCCCTGGGAGCATTTTTGGGCCCTCCTCTGCACACACCCCAACCGCTCCACGTCTCTCCTGTGCTGAGCACGCCCTGTCCGGATGCAGCACTCCAGGTGAGGTCTCATGGCACAGCGCAGAGGAGCAGATCCCCTTCACCACCCTGCTGGCAGTGCTGCTTTGAGTGCACCCAGGGTACGGTTTGCTCTCTGGGCTACGAGGGCACAGTGCTGGCTCACGTCCAGCTGCCACCCAGCAGCACCCCAAGTCCTTTTTGGCAGGGCTGTGCTCCATCTCATCACCCCTCAGCTTGCACTGACAGCGGTGGTGGCCACGGTCCAGGTGCCAGACTGTGTGCTTGGCTTTGTTGAACCTCACGACATTCTCCTGGGCCCACTGCTCAGTCTGGGTCTCTCTGAATGGCATCCTGTCCCTCGGTGTGTCCCTTCACAGCTTGGTGTCACCTGCAGACGGCTCAGGGAGCATTTGACCCCAATCGGTGTCACTGATGAAGACACTGGAGAGCACTGATCCCTGAAGTGGTTAAAAAGTAACGATGGGAACACACAAAATGGGCCAGGGGTGCCCGCGGGATCGAACCCCAGTCGGAGCTCGGAAAACACAGAATGTCTGAACCGAAGGAACCGCTGGGCTAAAGCCGGCCCAGGACGGGTGGCAGCTGCTGTGCCTCAGGAACTGCATGCAGGGGTGACGTTGGGGTGATGTCAGCAGGAGCTGCCCAATGTGCGCCTGGCTGCAGGATGGGATCCACCCCGGGAAACCACAGCAACAGAACACAACAGAACACCGTCACAGCTTCCCAGGCTCCTTTAATCGCCAGCAGGTGGCCGCTGGCCTCCAGGCTGCAGGCAGTGCCTGCAGACAGCCCAGGGTCCCCCAACTGCCTCATGGCAATGGGGCTGCAACCAATGGGGCCCAGTGCCAGCCTCCCCCTGCCAGCCCCCCCAGCTCGCATCCTTCCAGGCAGCTGCTGCTCCTCCTGAGAGCCCTGCAGCACCACAGCAACACAAAACAACTTCATCAACAGGAAAACATGGCAGCAGGCAGGACGTGCCCGCTGCTCACAACGGACCCAGCGCCGGTGGGAACGCGGCAGTGCCCACGCCCTCCACATGGCCCTTAAACAAACCCCCAACGAACTCAAAACAAGGCTGAACAGGAACACGGCCCCACTGGGCTCAGCTCTGCTCCACGATGTGACATCGGGTGTCTCGGGTTCATTTCATAGCTGGGGCACAACGCGTGCCCGCATACATCCTCAGTACCCTGCAGGAGAGAGAGAGCAGAGCGCTGGATGCTGTTCCTCTCCCCCCAGCCCGCCCCCAGCAGCCCCCAGCCCCAGGAGAGCCCCCAGGCAGTGAGGGGAGGTGGGGACCGACTCACCCAGCATCATCAGGGCCAGCTGCGCTACCGCCTCTTTGATCTTCTCGTGCCCCGCAGTGCCCGCCGCGTCCTCCCGCACCCACAGGAAGGTGCTGCAGGGCACGGGGTAGGATGGGATCACCACCTGGCCCCAGTACCGCTGCCAGCCGTCGGGCTCTGCCTGCACGCACCTGGTGAGGAAGTGGGGGCTCCCCAGATGCAGCCACCGGCACAAGGCCTGCAGTCGGCCCAGAGCGCCACGCAGCTCCGAGGATGGCAGCCCCCGCTTGGGGCTCCCCAGGCGCCGCACGTTGCTGGGGGGCGGCTTCTCCCCACGCGCCTGCAGCTCCTCCTTCAGCTCAGGCTTCAGCCACTCCACCTTCGCCTTCTTGAAGACGCCGACGTTCCCTAGGAGAGACCCACGGCAGCTGCACGCTCAGTTCGTCCCACCCCACCTCTAACCCCAGCGACCCCACTGCCTCCCAGTACCTTCCACCAGGGCTTTCTTGGCCATGGCGGCAGCCCGGTGCGAGCTATAGGTCAGCAAGGCGACCTTGCCCTGCTTGCGGTCGGGGCTGTTGTGCAGCGTTAAGCCCAGCAGCCCCTCGGTGATCTCCAGCAGCAGGGCGCCCAGCTCCCCGCGGCGCAGCGTGGCGGGCAGCCCGTTCACGCTCAGCTCGCACTTCTCGAAGCTCCGGCACACCAGGATGGCGCGGCCCTCCTGCACCTCCCAGTTGTTGAGGGCGGCGATGGCCTTCCCGGCGCTGTGCTGGTCGCTGTACTTGGCGTAGGCGAAGCCGCGGTTCAGCCCGCTGAAGGTCAGCATGAGGCGGAACTCGTAGAGCTGCCCCACGCTCTGGAAGAGCGGGATGAGCTTGTCCTCATACAGGTCCCGCGGCAGCTTGGCGATGTACACCTCGGAGCCTGGGGGCGGCGGGCTGCCCACCCACCCTGCGGGCACACAGACGTCAGAGCACCGCCCAGCCCTGGGCAGCGCCGCGCCGAGCCGCTGGCACCCACCTGGCGGAGGGCCGCCGTACCGCCGCTGCCCGTTCACCTGCACCAGGTCGATGCCGGTTTCTCTCATCCAGGTGAGCAGAGCCATCTTATTGGCCCGGTTGATGCTGCTGGTCCACTGCTGAGGGAGGGAGGGAGCGAGGAGGTCGGTGCTGCCCTGGGCAGAGCATCCGGCTGCCCAACTGCAGGCATCCCAACCCCGAAGCGCCGCCCCCAGGCTGAGCACTGCACTGCAACGTGGGGGAATGCGGGGCTGCTCTGCCCTCAGGGCGCATCCGAAGAGCTCTCCTGTTCCACCGCCTAAGAGCAGCAACTCTGGCAGAGCACACGGGCACCAACAGCTCCTCCAGAGATGTCTGCAAAGGCTTTGAGAGCAAAGATTTGGGTGCATCACAAGGCAGGGCGAGAGCAAAGTGCCGCTCTGAGCCACGGCCATCGCACCGCGGTGAGCACAGCCCCAGGCAGGATATGGGTGGGACACGGAGAGCCAGCCCCCACCTCCAGCCCACCCCCCGGGACAATGCAGCCGCAGGGAGGCACCGAGGACACGCAGCACCATCATCACCGAGTACTCATTAAAGTACCGCCCGGTCTCATCAGCGCCTTTGAGGCGCCGGAGGTGTCCCAGAGCCGTGGCGATGCGGCACGGAGGGACGTGATTTGAGCGCACGGTGGGGATGGGTCCATGACGGCAGAGCTCTCCTCCAGCCTTCACGGCTCAACCGCTCCGGTCCCAGCTCACGCAAACACCCCGTCCGCTTGCACTTTATTCCCGCGCGCCGCTGCGTTTCTGTCCCCGCGGGGTTCCGCCTTTCCCGAAGCCCAGAAGGACGCAGCCGCGGACCCTGCGGGGTCAGCTCCGAGCGGGTCCCGGCAGCAGCGGTCCCACGAGGGGCTCCCAACCCCGGCAGCGCCGCGCAGTGCGGCTCCGAGCCCCGACGGGCGCGCACCGAGCCCCCCGGCAGCCGCTCCGAGTTCCTGCCGGCCCCACGCGGTGCCGTCGAGCCGCGCAGCGCCAAGCCCGACGGCCGTTCCATAACAAGCGGGAATCCCGCGAGCGCGGCCTCGCCCCGCAGCCCCGTCCCGCACAGCACCCACCTGCTCCGCCATCGCCGCTCCTCGTGGTCCCAACCCGGCTCTGGAACTTTCCGTAGCCGCCGCCCACCTTTGGGCCTCGACCGCCCCGCCCCGAGGAGGGAGGAGAGAGCGGAGGGCCGGGGATGCGGCGCAGCCCCCCTATCCTACAGCGCTGCGCTCGTGGCCGGAGCAGAGAGGAAGGAAGAAAAGGCGAGGCGTGGGATGGACGAGATTTATTGGTTGTCAGAACATTTGGCATGGGATGAGGTCAACCCCGCCGCAGCCAGAGCAGAAACGCTGGGCCGGACACATTGAACGTGAAGGGCACAAGGAGCTGCAGCCAAGAGCCTGGGTGCCGCTGGCAGTGTGGGGCTCCGGTCACGGCACAGCTGCAGCCAGGAGGGAGGGCAGCGTGTGCCAGAGGTGCTCACAAAACATCTCTGCAGTGACACAGCCCAGGGCCGGGCATCTCACAGGAGTGCGGCCTCCCTGCTCCTGCTGAGAAGGGAGGACGCGAGCCAAAGAATAAATACAGCCTCCAAAGGCTTCCCTGACCCTGCACCTGCTGCCAGCTGGCTGGGCGGTGGAGCCGAGCAGCCCAGGGTTACAGGAGCACATCTGTTCACCAGAACCCAGCGAGGGAGAGCTGTCCAGGTGGGGGCTAAAGCTGACTTGTCCGCCTCCTGATCTCCTCCACGAGGCTCTCCCTGCGGATGTTGACCTACACAGAAAGCAGAAGGCTCCATAATTACAAGGCAAGCAGCTGGCTGCGTGGTCCCTGCTGGCCCATGCCGTAATTCACGGCCTTTGGCAGATGAAATTGTGCCACCGTGGCACCAGTCCCTCTGTGGGGATCAAGCAGGCAGCAGCATAGACAGAGCTGGGCTCTGCTCCATGACAGTAAGCAATGTAAGTAACACTCCCACCCGATGACCAAGCACAACGCCCTTCCACTCCTTCCAAAACGGAGGCCAGCACACAGATGACCACCAGGCCCCCTCCTTGTTCCAGCAGGGAACCCTCCCATACCCTGGAAGGAACGCGGAAGCAGCCATAGAGCAATGCTGACCTTCCCTCACTGCAGGCCCTTGAGCTCTGGGCACCAAACTCCAAGTATGGGCCCTGCACCGGTTCCCAGAGCTCTACAGAACCTGATCCTATGGCTGAACAGGGCATGGAAGGCAGGTCTGAGCTGGGATGGAAGGTGGGGCAGCCCTCACCCCCTCTGAGTCACCAGAGCCTCACCTCCTCCCTGGTTGCCACCACCCGCAGCTTGACAACTCCATCCTTGAGCTCCTGCTCTCCCACAATGGCCACAAGGGGGATGCCCGTGTCCTCACAGTACTGCAGCTGATTCAGGAGCTTGGGGTTCTTCTTGTACAGTACTTCTGCCTGGAAGGGAACCAGAGCACAAGGCTGCTCTCAGCACTGGCCTGCTGCTCTGTGCCCCATCGTCCCACCAGCATTCCCAGGCCAGTCCAATTGCTAGCCCGTGAATGGGAGGTATGTACAGACTAGCTGACATCAAAAGGCAGGGCAATGCAGCTAAAAAGTAATGCAGAACAGCTCAGAGGAACTTGGAAGACACTGCTGCTCCTGGGAAAGCACCAGGTGGTCAGCTCTAGTGTGTGTCAGACCAGGACTGACACCCGTGGTGTTCCTGAGGCTCAGAAGCCCTATGGAGCATCCCTTCTCTGCTGGGTCTCATGGCAGACTGCCTGCAGCAGGAGCAGTGCACAGACAGGTGGCTTTTTAGACAATGCAAAACACAGCCCAGGCTCCTCCCCTCCTTGCAAGTCTCTTCACCATCTTGTTTTCTGGTGGAAGTGGCATATGACATCACAGCTGCCATTCAGCAGAGGCTGAAGTGCTGCCCTGCTCTGACAATCCATCCTAAGCAAAGCCACAACAGCTTCTGCAGCAGTATAGGGCCAAGCAAGTCGTATCGCCCAGCACCCCCTGGAAAACATCTCATCTAGGACACGAAGAGGCAAGCTCCATTCAGAAAGGTGTCTGCTGCCCACCCTCTCCCTGTGAGTCCTTCCTCCCAGAGCAAAGCCAGATGTGGTCCATTTCTGGGCATAAGAGAGCGGATCAGGCAGCTCCTGACTTGACCTTGATTACATTATATTGATTATACCTTGATTCCAGCATCCCACAGCTCAGAGATGAGCTTCAGCCGCTCTTCCAGGAGCTTCTTTTGGGCAGAGGCCACGAGCACTTGCGTCTCTGTTGTCCTGATCTTCTCCTCTGAGGCCTAGAAAGTGGACAAGACTCAAAAGATTCTACAGACACACAGACATATCCAAGGCTCAAAGAACAGCACGCACTTTGGGCAGTGCCCAGAGACCCATCCTAGAATCTCAGTATCTGTGACTGTTCCACATTCTGGTGTTTATCCTCGCCTCCTTTCTGTGCTTGCAGGTGTGCACAGGCTGGAGAACACGCTGAGAATGACTGATTTCACTGCCAAATTCTGCCTAGATTGTCCCTCCAGACCCAAGGGCCTCTGGGAGATCTGCTCAGAGTGGCTGAGAGCAGCAGGCCCTGTGGGAGCTGCACAGAGCAGCTGCATGTTCTACAGCTGGGCTAGTAACTGTGGGTTAGGCTAACAACAGCAAGCTGAGATGTCCCAGCTCTGCTGGTCTCAGTTGGGTCAGGATGCCAAGAGCTCTCCCCACAACAGGACTCTGGGGGAGGGAAATGCATGGCAGTGTTTGGGAATCCTAACCAAGACCTCTTTAGCATCCACTGAATGGGACTGAGAATAAATTGGTAGAACTGCTCTGAGGAGCAGGGAAGAGGAAAATCGTACCTCAAATCCTGACAAAGGCACTGTACTCCCTGCTATGGGACACCCAGCCCCTATCAGGTCTTTGTAGTGCTCCCAGCAGGATGGGCACATGTGCAAGACTGCCCATGAACCTTGCAGAGCAGCACTGGCTGGCCATGAAAGCAGTGTTGTCACAGGGATGCCCAGTGCAGGGGGAACACTGGGGCACCTGACTAAGGCACCTCATACAGCTGGAAATCACAGTGCTCCCTCCAGCTGGAGCTGTAGTGGGGACTGCAGAAAAGGGATCACATCTGAAGCCAGAGAAAACAGGAGACTGAACTTGTTTTGACCTCTTGGTGCAGAACACAGCAAGGCCTGGATAGGTTCTCTATCAAAGACCCACTTCAGCATTTGCTGGACTGGAATAAATGCATGGGGAGAATGCAAACCCTGTGCCTTAGCTGAGTACCAATGCACTCACCTCCAGTCTCTGCTCAAGGATGGAGAAGATCCGCTCAATCCCAATGCTGACCCCCACACACGGCACCTTCCGTCCCTTGGGATCAAACATTCCCACCAGGCCATCATAGCGACCGCCTCCAGCCACGCTCCCAACGCTGACCGACTCCTCTCCATGGTCATTCTCCTGCTGCAGCAGAACTGCCTCATATATCACCCCCGTGTAGTAATCCAGGCCTCGGGCAAGGCTCAGGTCAAAGGACACCTGCAGGACACAACAGAAGCCCCTTCAGCAACTGCGGACGCGGACCCACGGCTGCCCAGCCAGCAGGGCAGCACCCCTCCTGCTCTGCTCCTCCTCACCTTCCCCGTGATGCCAAACAGCGTCAGGTACTCAAACAGCAGCTTCATGTCCCCCAGCCCCTCCTTGGCCAGCTTGTTCTGCGACAGCTTTGGGTCCTGGAGAAGCTGCTCAATCAGGTCCAGGCCACCTGCAGGGACAAGCTGTGTCTCAGCTCAGCCGGCGCGGCAGCACCTGCAACGACCCAGGCTGCTGCGTGTGCTGCTTTGTGCCCCTCCATCCCTGCCCAGGACACTGGCCTTGGCCTGCCTGGCATGGAGGAGAGCAGCTGCACTCGTGGGCAGCGCAGCAGAGCAGGGGGGAGGGCAAGGGCTGGATCCCACCGTGCTCACCGTGAAGCTGGACGTACTCCCCGATGCGATCTGCAGCCTCAGGTGAGAGTCCCTTCTCTCCCACCATCTCGCTCCTCACTTCCTCCCACGGCATCTGTGAAGGGGGAGAACAATATCAACCACTGCCTCAGGGATGTGGTCTCTCCTGAGGAAGGTCTCTCATTGCACTGCCCCATGCAGGTGATCAAACACCTGCCCTCAGCACATCTCTGCAGTGCTGAGCTCCATCCGCACCGGGGTGGTTAAAAGGTTCATGAGGGAAGCAGCAGATTAAATGCCCTCAGGCCATGGTTGTAACTCCATCTCTTGCACTTCTACATGGTGCTTTTGTATCCCAATCCTGCAGTCACCAAAGCTGCCCAAGAACTTGAAAGCCCCATGACTTGCACTGGGCAGTATGTTCTTCCTGTGACTGCACGTGCCCTGCTAGGATGCTGCACCAGCACCAAACTGTGCTCCTAGGAAAACAACCTTGCACTGACGACAGCAGCAGATGAAAGTGAAGACATGCTATGAGGCTGCACACAGTGCAGCATACATCAAACTGACCATCCTTCCCCTGCCCAGAAGGCAGGAAAGTGCTGCCGATCATTTTTTCCAGGCTTGTATTTCTGGTCTCTCACACCTTCTCACTCCAAATGCACTCCTCTGCCTCCCGCTGAACACTGTAACCTTGCCCCTACGTGTTCTCCTCACTTCCCTTTGCTGCATCTCTGACGTCCCTGTCTCTCCCAGGTCCCAAACGAGCCACGACTGTGTGCTGTACACTGAAGTCCTGATTATGCTCAAAAGCTGCTGCAGGCTCTGCACTCTCAGCCAGAATGCCAGACATCACACTGCCCATCGAGAACAGCACTAGCTTGCCTGCAGTATTTATGAATAGGTCACAGCTGTGACCTCATAAGAGCCCACAGGACAGAGACACAGAGAGCCCTGCAGCCCATACCTTATCGAGTTTGTCGACGCTGGAGCAGATCGTTCGGAACTTGCTGTCTGGGACACCACAAACTGCAAACATCCCATCAAGGATGCGCCGATCGTTGACCTGGGAGACAAGGAGAAAGCCATGTAGCAGAGCTCAAGCAAGCGCTTCAGATGAGCCCAGTTTTTCTTCTCTCTAGTTCTAAGCACAGAAGAGAGAAACTAGCAGCCACCCTAACTCCATGGGAAACCTGTGCCCCA